TTGCCAACGGATGATGAATTATATTAAACTAGAGTAAAGAGCGTGCTTCCATTTTACCTTTTATAATTTATATTCATAGCACTATGATTTTGTTATTTCAAAATAATTTTCCATTTCTATTACCAAAATTAAACATTTTTTTTTGTTTTTAATGAATATGAAAGCTATTCTATAAAACCGAATAAATTCCATCTTAGATCATACTAATTAATATGGCCTAGACAAGATTATATGTATTCACATTAATACTCTCTTACCCTTTTAGTTCGCAACTGAGCATAAAAGATAGATATATTTCACTGAAAAATGGGATAGATCCTAAATTCTTAAAGAGATCTAATTAAGTTCATGCATCCATGTACTAAAATTTGAGGATACACTCAAATTTGAAATGACACCAAATACATTAATTGTCACCAAAATTAATTATATATAGGGCACAAATTCTATTTTATTCACTAAATTCTTAAAGGAATCTAAATTCATGCATCCATACATTCAAATGTGAGGATACATTCAAAGGGAAAATGTAGTACAAAATAAATTATATAGGGCAACATTCTAATTTTATAACTATTTATTGATTTTCTTTTTATTTCTCTTACTATGCACTTTATGTAGTTTGTGAACGTAAATATTCCCTCCCGTCCTATCATGTGATAAATAAATAATTAACTTACAAAATATAAAAAAATTAATTCAAAGCATTCATTGTTTAAGTACGTCACAAAGTGTAATTTTTTTTTCAAAAATGTCAAATTAATTTTGAACTTATATAAATATTCAATGACACTTATAAAGCCAATTTATATCTAATGAAAGGCATAAAAACCTTTATAATAATAAGATATATATATATATATATGGATATATAATTAGTCTCTTATATTTAGGGCCAAGATGGGCCCCCTGAATTTTCTTACATAGGATAGGACAAAATTGTAATTTGATTTATTAAAGTTTTTATATAGAATAAAATTTATTTTTTTAGGAAAAATTGTTAAAAACTCATTGCAAAACCTATTCCTTAAAGGTATCTGAAATTTGCAACTCAAATGCAATCTATTTTCAGTAGGTGTAACTTTTTTCAGCCATACACAACCTATCTTCTAATATATTGAAAATCAAAAATATTTTTGCGTAATTGAAAAAGAGTTACATCAGCTGAAAATGAATTCCACCCACTTAAAGACCTGGATTCTTAAATATCTTAGAGATTAATTTTGTCACGTGGGTTTTTGAACAATTTTCTCCTCTTTTGTGTGTAGAATATAAATATACTCCTCCAGTTTTTAATATAAAATTTATTTAACTAATTTGATTAGATTAAAAATTTTAAGTAAATTAGTTAATTATAAAAAATATGACATATTTTTTTAAAACACCATAATCATTTTATTTAATATTCTCTCTCCTTTTCATACTTGATTATGATTGAAGGAGTATCAACAGGAATAGTTTAAAAAAATTGATAAACGTGATAAATAGGTCTTATATTTAGAACAAAAATTAATTTAATAATTAGGTCCTATATTAATACTCCCTCCGTTCTTTATTATAAGAAACATTTGATGCTTATGACATGTTCCCATATATAAGAGACACTTAAAAGTTGTCTCTCTTTTTTGTATTGATTTTCTATTTTACCCTTATTTATTTTGTCTCAAACTCATACTCTCCCTCCTTTCTACTTCTCTTTCTTTTAATAATTTAATTGTTCTCTCTCATACTCTCTCTCCTTATTAATAGGGACATTGTTGGAAAAAACATTATACTTTTTACACATTAATTGTCTTCAATTAATTTTAACTGTTTTTTTTTATAAACGTAATTTGGTTATTTATCTCTTATAATAAAGAATGGAGGGAGTATTAAAGAAAGGAAGAGTAGTACATAATATTCTAAATGAAAGATCCAAAATCATCCACACATTGAGACAATATGGTCCAATAAATCCAATTCCCGGGTGGGTCCCTTGCTTTTGCTTCGTTGTCATGACTTCCTACCGCAAGACCCAAAAAAATCGTATCACGATATCAGAAGGCATAAAGTGTCTTTTAATCTGTAAAAATTTTAATTTAAATCAATTATAATTTTACATCGAATAAATTTCTGGATTTTCATCAGAAAATTTAATACCCTTTTAATCACTGACATCACCCAACTTATGCAGAAATTAAATGCCTAGCTTGTAATATGCGTCAACTTGTTTAAGATGACAAATTAGATTGGTGAAAATCAGAACCGTATGGATGCGATTTTTTTTTTTTTTTAACACACACCTGCCTAGCCTTTAATGGTGTTGGGCTGGCTTTGCGGGTTAGCATTATTTTTTCTTTTTGTAATTTCTGAAAATAAGGAAAATGATTTTTCTTAAACTTTTCCTTATTCTTCTTTCAAATAACCTTCCTCAATTTTCTCATTTTTCTTTTAAATTTTCTCATTTCTTTTTCATTTGTAATGTTTTGAGATTTATTATGTTTAATTTGTATTGCTTGAATTTAACATCTTGTCATGTGAGGCTTTTCTTTTTTTTCTTTTTGGTAATAGTCATGTGAGGCTTGTTTAGTAATGTGGGATGTTTGAATTTGATTTTTTTATGTATGGTAACTTTTATTTTAATGTTTCATTTTAAATATTTAGGAATTAGAATATATTCACTTAAAATGGAAAAAGAAAGCAAACAAATATAAAAGCGGGGGCTGAGTTGCATAATTACTAGCCCGCTAGCATTTGGTTTTTTTAAGGACGAACCGCTAATCCTCCAATCCGCTATGAATTGGTGTGTACTCTTACAGTCTTAAATATAAGTTTTGCTTTGTAATGTAATTTACATTAAAAAATGGGTTTTATATTAGGACCGAAGGAGTATTACTTCCTATATTAACATCTATGCATGATCCATCTCAGCTTGGATTTGTTGTTTGATTTTATGTGATTTCAACAAAAATGGTTGATATTTACCTATAGTTGTGATTTATCACATGCATAATAGCAGAAGTGTCTTTTTATTTTTCTAACTTTATATAATGCTTTGGTTTTGTTCCTTAATTTTAAAAAATATTTTAAAATTCCTGTTATCCTAATTTTATTAGTATCAAATGATAATTTTTTTTACAACAATCATTGCTAATATGGCCGTATTTGACCATTTTTCTTAATATTTTTCAGTATTTTATTATTAACGATATTCGAGTTACATGGCCCCCTTAAATTTAAGATTTTAAAAAAATTATTGAATTTTTCCTCGACAATTTATTATGAGAAAAACTTGACTCCATGAAAATTTCTAGATATGTCTCGACCAAAATAGATAGTATTTCTCTAATTCTTAATATAAGATTTAATTAAGTAATTTGAGTAGATTAAGAATGTTATTAAATTAGTTAATATGATTTTTTTTGTAAAACATCCCAATTATCTTTCTTAATTATCTTTCTCATTGATTATTGTTGAGGGAATATTAATAGGATTAATTTAAAACAAAAGGTTAATATACATGTAATGTCTTGTCCAATTTCAAATCCATATATGCATGATTTATTTCAAAAGGAAATTGAGTGACCATTTTGTATTTAAATAAAATTTTTATGAGTAAAAATATTTATGAATTCATAATTCATAATTACTACAACTTTCTATATTTTTATTTGATTATTGACATATTAATTATAAACGTCGTTTATAATCTATGTTGCATGAATATATTATAAACAAATGAATAATAAATTTGGCCCAAATATCTTATAAAAAAAGACAAAAAACAAATGGACAATAAAATAAATCTGTACACGTGATGATAAAAGTGAGGAGGGGACCATTTTTTATCTCCGTTGGTGCGTCACGATACATTCTTCTGGACAGCCAAGTTTTCCCTCCAATGGCATCTCGCTGTGGTTACTCCTTTTGGCTCATTTCGAGATGCACAAATTTTGTTAGTAACTTTTTTGGACTATTAATTAATTAATTTATTTATAATTTAATTAAGGAAAAATTGGAAATAAATCCTTCATTACAAATTTAATTAACAAATAATCCCTAAAATATTAATTGCACAAGGAAAAATTAGTTACACAAAAAAGAAAGTAAATTACACAAAAGGAAGATGATCTGCGCAAAACATTATTTGGACATAAGGTATTAGTTTACACATAGAGAAGATGATTTGCGCATAAGAAAATTTCATTTGCACAAAAGGAAATTGAATTGCACATTACAAAAAAGAGAATTATTGCACATAAGGGAAGATAAATTACACATAAATGAAATTAAGTTGCACATAATAACAGTTAAGTTGCATAAAGTCCTTAGATCCTATTTGTCAATTAAATTTTTAATGAGAAATTAATTGAACAATTTTTTTTATGCAATGAAATCATGTCATGACTTACAATGGTTTCATTAATGATGGTGAAAATAATTTTGTCAGGTTTTATAAAAATAGTAATAATTTCTCAAATTCTCTTATCTCCATAAGGATATAAGTAAAATACCTATATATTTTTTTTTTTCTCATTCAATTTCTAAGGATATGATCCCTGTAACGAACTTTATAAATTCAAAACCTGTTAATACAAGAACTTTATTGATAATTGATTTAACTCTAATTTGTAAGTGCTTTTTAAATTTGGAGAGATAATTAAAAGGGGAAGAACTTATTAGCAATCAACCATATTTAAAAAATAACTGACAACAAAATTTGGTAATAATTCTGATTCTGATTTGATATTTTAAAAATTTAAGAAATATTTTTTTTGAGATTTTTTCTTAGTATTTTATTTTCATTTTCTTTTGAAAAATTGTTGCGTCTTAAACTTTTTCATGAAATTGAGGGTGGAGATTTGACTCTCCAGTCCAAATGACTTGATTGATAGATTTTCGTTAAAGATTTCTTCCTTCGCAAACACGTCTGCATAATCACTCATTCAGATTGAAGGGCATTTATTTCACGATCCAAAAAAAAAAATTTGAAACTTGAAACGCCAACAAGATGATGAATGAACGTCAGAGATTATCTTTCTAGAATTGGAATTCAATTGGATTATCAGTTATCACCCAATTGTTTTAGAGAGAGAAAGCACGATCATGTGCTCTCCCTTCCTTTCGCTTTCTGATTTCTATCCAAATGGCGGATACTTCAAAGGCTTAACTCACCCCATTCATCTTCCTTCTGCTTTTTTTTCACTACCCACCACCCAGCTTCCCTTTTAAGCTATTTGGGTTTCTTGCATTTCTGTTTCTGTTCCTGCTGCCTTTTCTCAAATAACTTCGTTGTCTCTTCTTCTTTTCCTAACTTCCGGGAGTTGTAGAAATGGCTGTGACTATGGCTGCTTCGAGCCTTGGGCTCTCCTTCACTGCCGAGACTAATTTCAGAGCCCTGGAGAAACCCACTTGCATTGCGCCTATATTGAAGACTCCATCTGGGTTTGGTTCTACTAAACCATTCTTTATTTTCCATAAAGGAAGGTATAATATCCAGAGAACTCAATTTTGTTATGTAAGCTTTCATTGGTCTCTGTTTTTCATATATATGCTTTCAATACTCTCTAGTTGCGGTTTACACTAAATCATAGGAATTCTAGCTTTGTTGATGATTCTATATCTGCTGTTTTGATATTTCGCCTTCTGATTTTACATAACCATAGAATTTTGGATTGAAAAATGAATCAGCGGAATTTCTAGCGCTATTGATTATCCGGCTTGAAAATGTTAAATTCTTGCAACTAATTTGTTATGCAACTCCGATGATGTTAATCCGTGTCCAAATGTTCGGTACAACACTTGGAGGATTGCAGAAAACACTAAGGTTTGTTTGGATTGAAGCGAATTATGGGAAAGAGGAGGGGAGGTTTAATATAGACATTCCCCTTGATTTAAATTTGAATCAGAAATTTTCTTCTTCATTTTCCTCACTCCAAGCACACCCTTAACGTCTTTGGTTATGTTAAGATCCTTGTGCTTTTTGAAAGGCATAAACAATTAACACTTGAACTAAGGCTTTGCCAAAATGTGTCCATTCTCTTTGTTGTAATACTATGTACCATTTTGTCAGATTGTCATCCTCAGGAACCACAATTATCCCTCAAGCAGCACCTGTTGCTAATGTAGAGGTATTTAGCAAAATGATCCTAAAATATCACCTGCTTGTTGCAGATGAAATATAGATTGTCTCTTCTTCATTCTTTTCTCATGCTTTTTGACTTTGATCAATAAAACATTTATTTTTAACTTAATCTATGGTGTACAGGATGGAAATCAAGCAGAGACCGACACTGTTCCAACTCCTGTAGTAATAATTGACCAAGACTCTGATCCAGATGCAACTGTGGTGAAATAACATTTGGTGATCGCCTTGGCGCTCTTCTTGACACAGTAAGCCATCGCCTGAGAATAGTTCATTGCTCTAGCTTGCACATTATCCCTTCGTAATATATATTATGCTAGCACTTTCAAATTTTCAAGTCATTTTATATATGCTTTATTCTGTTCCATTGAGACATAGTTGATATTCTGCATTGAATTGTGTAAACATTGAAGAAATCAATCATTTCTTCATGGGTTGCAGATGAATGCACTGAAAAACTTGGGGCTCAATGTTGTTAAGGCAAATGTCTATATGGATGCCTCTGGAAAGCACAACAAATTTTGCATCACAAAAGCGTAAGTGTGTTGCTATATATAGGTATCCGTCACGTCTCTTTATTATTGTATGATAGCTCATGCATGTAAAATATTTAATAATAATGGTCATCTTATTTTGCCCACGGGAATAATTTCTTCTAATACTTTGCTGAGTTTACTCCTCTATTATGGATATGTACAGGGGCACTAGCAAGAAGATAGTCAGAGATAATTTTGCCAAAATAGAAGGGGTAGAAGGGAATGGATGGACAAGGATGAATTTTAATTACCAATTGATGATATCTAGATATCATAATATTGTGAAATTAACACAGTAGGCATGATTCTTCTTGCACAAATCCTAGAGAGGTTCCTAAACTGAACATCTCCTTGGGCTCATCAGGGAGTCTGATTACAAGTTCACACTAAATTATCAGAAGTTAGTCTTAATACAATGAACGAAGCTTGTTTTCTTCACATTCCCATTTCAAATGACAATTATTTTATGGATCATAATTTTATCTAGCTATGGTCTAATAATTCATTGGATGTCCGGTGGAGATTTGTTTGCAGCGATACTGGCAGGAAAGTGGAAGATCCGGAGTTGTTAGAGGCGATTCGTTTGACAATTATAAATAATATGATTCAGTATCATCCGGTATGCTTCTCAACTTTTCTCCCTTTCTTTTCTGTCCTAGCACATTCTTCCATTCATAGCCACTAGCCAGTTACTGCTTCTGATTATAGTTGCATGTTTCAATTTGGTCATCCAGGAATCAAGTGCCCAGTTAGCGTTGGGAGCAGCTTTTGGACTTATGCCTCCAAAAGAACAGGCAATGAATGTTTATATGTTGAAATTATGAACTCTTAGTTGACAAATATGAATTTGGCATTAGCGGTACAACTTTTATGAGGTCAGAATTACAGTGGCCAGAGGGCATGAACTTGTTTCTGTTTGAAGGAGGGAATATGCGTAGTAAGGAAGATGAGGATGAATGATAACGGGTTGTTAGCTGACTTAGCTAGCTCCGCGTGCCAATGGTAGCATATCATGTTCATCAGCAGTCCATCCATGCCATAATAATAAACAAAGAAACTGTGTTGTGTGGAAAATAGGGTTGTACAATGGAATTGATTTTTCCTTTCTTTTCTTTGGGAATAAGAAGAGAATGGTCTGGGACAGAATGATTATTCGTGTTTGACTGTTTCATTATTCTCTTGTCCTATGAATGAAAATCCATTCCTTTCTATTATTTCTTATGTTGTTTCACATGGAATTCATTCCAGCTTTTTTGTGCATCACTTTTTATTACTGTTCAAAGAGGGAATGATGATTTCAGTCTCAGCAAAACCAATTAATGGAAGCAGAAATGGAATGATCAATCCCGTGAACTTTTACACATGATGCGTGAGTTTATGATAGGCCCATATTAACCTGGTCCTTGTTTCGTTGGAATGCCTCAGGTGGATGTGGACATAGCAACCCACATAACCATCTCCGACGATGGCCCAGAACGAAGGTACTTGATAGCTATCCTGATCACCACAGAAAACTGTTTTACTGAAACTCAATATCTGAGCCCTTGGCCTCATGGTAGAGTTTTCGTCGCCATGTTTGAATCACTACAGTACTTATCTTTTCCTTTTCAGTTTGCTTTATGTGGAGTCAGCTGATCGACCTGGATTACTGGTGGATCTTGTTAAGATTATTACTGACATTAACATCACTGTCGAATCTGGAGAATTTGACACTGAGGTAAATTTACCCCCGCAAAATGTGCAAATCTTTCTTCTTTCTCTGAGTCCTGTCAAAATCTCCATAACTTTTTATTGTTGAACCTAGGGGCTCTTGGCTAAGGCGAAGTTTCACGTCAGCTACAAAGGTGGTGCGATCATCAAGCCTCTCCAGCAAGTAAGTCAATAGTTTTGTAAACAAACATTATACTTATGATTCTTGATTGTTCCCTTTTTTGTTGGGTGATGGAAAAATCAAAGTTACTTGACATTGAAATATATACTATCTGGTGAAGTTTGAGTCTTGTGAACTGAGCATTATTGTTTTGTGTCTGCCATATTTTGCAGGTTCTTGTAAACAGCTTGAGATATTTCTTGAGAAGGCCCACAACCGAGGAATCCAGTTTTTGAGTGGGGTCTCTTATAAGGCAAATGTTGGATCTCTTACATTGAAATTGTTGGATGATGAATATTTACTCCCTCATTTTGGAAAATCTTTATAGAATACAGTCAAACAAAATGCTTTAGTGTACATGAAATCTATAAATTATTATGTTGTCAAGCATCTAAACTTGTTTTTTATTCCAATTTCATATATGACCCAGAAGTATCATTTTTTCAAAAAGGTTATGCACACAACAACAAAAAACAAGTTTTATCCCACTGAGTAAGATCAATTATATGGATAACAGATCGTTGTGATCTATTAACAACTAAATCTTTAGATACCAAAAAGTTCTATGTAATGATTTTATTGAGCATTCTTTTTAATCTTCATTTACATGACAATAAAACATAAAAATATTCTCATGTTCATTAGGAGAATGCTAAAAATGGTGCAAATAAATTTAAAAATTGTAATCCCCCCAACCTTTCTTTTTAAGCCCAAGTTGATGAATGTGACATGAAAAAGTGATGTGAGTAGGATCACTATCTACCCTGTAAAAGTGGCCAGAAGTGTCACTCGGCAACTTGTGATTAAACGAGGATATTATTAAAATGAATGTGATGTAATTATTTGAATTTTTGTGGCCATAATTGGTTACAACTATAAAAAAAATTTCAATCTTATCAGTAATTAATAATAATAGAATCTTGAGGGTTGCAGATAAGGCATGGCTGAGTTTCAACGAATCCATTATATTTTAGTGGAGATCATGTGTGGGGTTGCTTTGTGTTTGTATTTAAATCACCTTTTTTTTGGGGGGGGGGGATCAATCTTTTGTCAAAAATCAAAATCACATTTTTATCCTTGCCGACATGATTCTAAACACACATGAAGTGGGAGCTGATTCATAGTTGCCTTTGTATATGAATCTTGTTGCATTCAAACTTCAAAGAAAATTAAAGTAAGGGAGAATCCAAAAAACAGTTTAAAATTACTAAGAGCCTGTTTGGATAACATAAGAAACTATGATTTGGATCCCAGATTTGCCAAACAAGAAGAAAAATTAAAAAACCATGATTTTGGACTAAAAATCATAGTTTCAGAAAAAGTGAATCCATTCTACTTCTGGCTCAAATTGGAGAGTATGATTGTATTTGTCAAAATAGATCTCAATGATAATATGACTTTAACACCCCTCAATTATTTTTTTATGAACATATTTAATCTTATATTTTATAATATATACACATGTTAATTATTTATTAATTACATTATCTTATATATTATTAATTATGTTGGTAAAAAATATATTATTAACAATTTTATTTCTTCAAATTAAAATATATTATAAAATCTATCTTTTATATAATTATCATATTAACCTATGCTTTTTTTAGTATTTTGCACATAACAAGTGCTTCTGATAACAACTATCTAAACACTCTCACTTTATCAAAATCACTTTTTCACAAAATCTATTCTCTTAAAAATCTATTCTCCAGAAGCTATTCTCCAAACCATAAACTCCTACTAAAATGTATTGTTATTTGTAAATTTAGTGTTATCAAAATCTATTTAAATATTATTAACAAACTTGATTTGAGATTTATTAATTTTAAGATCATGAAAAAGAGGAAGTGGTGCCTGATATGGTATTTTGCAAATGTAGCCAAATGAGTAAAATGTCATTGTATCATATTTTTTTATTAAAAAAAAAGTTATCAAGCTTGTCATTGCTGTATATTTCTTGTCCTTGCTTGTTCAACACTTGTCATTGCCAAATCACAACTTATTAATAAATAACTTGTCATTGCTAATACATTTCTTCTCATTTTCTGTTCAATACTGGTCATTACCGGTTCACAACTTGTTAATAAACTTTTTGATATAAGGGTATTTTTATCATTTAACTACATTTGTAAAATACCAAATCAAGCACCATTTTCTTCCTTGAGATTTTAACCTCTTAAGTGCCTAAATTGAAATATTGTAATTTGTCATTTTTCCTTTCTTTTATAGAAAACACTTTTTTATTATCAAACAATGCATAAAATTTTCAAAAAAAGAAAAAGGCAACGCAATATCCTGTTATCCCTTCTCTTATTAATTTGAAGATTGGATACCCGTTCTAATTTGAAGGGGATGTTTGCATAGAATCAAACCATAGTTTAGAGAATAGATTTTAAACGAAGAAATTTTGAGAATAGATTTTTGAAAAAAGTGATTTTGATAGAGTAAGAATGTTTGGATTGTTATTATTGGAATCTCTTTTTTTTCATGTGCAAATTACTAAAAATGACATAAGTTAATGTGATAATTAGATTAAAATATATTTTAATTTATATTTTTGTTTAAAATAATAAATTTGTAAATAATAAATGATATGTGAAAAAATATAATATTACTTCTAGTCCTTAGTATGAGAGCTAATTGGATATTCAATTTGATTTTGAATATAAGACACTAACACGCTTTGTCTCACACATTTATTCATTTTTTAAAGTAGTCCTCATATTAATTTACACATGGTAAAGGTTTTATCAAATAATAGTCCAAATATATATATCATTAACAAGTATTTGAGATACAACACTTATTTATTATAAATAAATAATTTAACTAATTTTCTTAATATCGACAAATTAGTTGTGTAATTAAGGACCGAATGTGCTAATTGACATGTGTATATATTTTATATCCCAAACTATAGTTCAAAAGCAACAAAAAAAAAAAAAAGACACTTCAAGGAAAACCATGGTTTTTAAATCAAAAGTGATTTTGCAAAGGGATAATTAATATATAAGTCCTTATAGTTTTAACTGGTTTTTAATTAAGTCCCTATAATTTTTTTTTCTTTTTATCAGGTCCTTATACTTTCATATATTTTTAATCAAGTCCTTATAATTCTTTTTCTTTTTATCAGGTCCTTATTGTTTTACTTTGTTTTTAATTAGGTCCTTGTAGCTTTTATTTTTTATTTTACAAATAATAACATTTTAAAAATAATAAATTATTGTAACAATCTTATGTTAATATTATTTTAAATTTTTAGTTAAACAAATATATTATTTATTTTCAATTCGAATTTTTATAATTATAAAATTCAAATTATAATAATAAATTTTTCTAAAATTAAAATATGATTATAAATAATTTATATTTAAGTATTATTATTATTCTGATTATTTATTAATTACCAAATGATTATATTAATTATTTTTTCCAATTATATAATTATTAATTTAAAAATAAAATTAATTTTAAAGAATAAAGTTAATAAATAATTTTTCAAAAACTACAAAGCACCTAATTAAAAAATAAGAGAAACTATAAGGACCTGATAAAAAGAAAAAAAAATAGAAGGACCTAATTAAAAACACACGAAAGTAAAAGGATTTGATAAAAAGAAAAAATTTTATAAGGACCTAATTAAAAATCAGATGAAACTATAAGGACCTGGAGATTAATTATCCCTTTTGCAAATAATTAAGGTGTTTGGTTATTCTTACTCAAACTATGGTTTCAAATTTAAAAGTGATTTTGAGAAAAAAATACAGTGTTTGGATAATTTTCTCTTAAAACCATGGTTTGAAGAAATATCCAGACACCCCTTTTAATATAATTCACTCTTAGAGGTACGAGCAAGTTATTAGGGATTGGAGCAAGTTGTCAGGGACTGGACTCACCTTCTTCTTTTTTACCAGTGTCAGGATTCAATTCGAACCATTTATTTAAGAAAGGAAAATCTCCGCCATGCACATTAGTCTAACTTGAGATCAGATATACGAATATGCTTCTATTGTGGCTAATTGTTGATTCACATTTCACCGAAAATGGAGTCACATGTTAAGGAAGAGCGTGGAACATTATTTGAAGAAGTTTTTAGAGTATTTATAGTGAGACATTAGGTGAATAGAGTTCAAAGAATAACTTGCATTGCTTTTATTGTTTTTTTTGTGACGCATAGGCATCCTCTTATTAAAAATAATATTGTTCAAGACACTATTAGATATTAAATATAAGTATATTTTTTATTAGAGGTTCGAATATTAATTCGTTACATTGTGAATGACTAGTTTTTTTCACTAAAACCAACTCGTTAATCATTGTTTTTATAGTTAGATATTATTTATATATATATATATGAAAAGTCAGTAAAAACTAACGAAAGTTGGATCTAGCGAAAGAAATTGATTCTTTATAATGTGGCGAACCAAAATTCAAATATCCACATTTAATACTTGGCAATATCTCAAATAATATTACCTAGAAGATACCTACACGTAACAAAAAAAACAAAAGTCAGCAAAATGGGTCAATCTGTTTAGGCCTAAAAATTATTAGGACCAAGCCTAAAATTTAAATTTCAAATGGCAAATAAACATATAAAAGTCAGTCTTAACTGGTTTTGATCTCTCAAATTTTAAAACATAGGTTTTGGTTCTTCAAGGGGTAAAATGGTCTAGGATTTTATTAAATTATAAGGACTAATATTTGAAATGGGAAGAAACTTGAAGAGTCAAAACCTATGGTTTGAAATTTTAAAGACCAAAACTAAAATGAAAACAAATTCGATCGACCGCTGCATTAATTTTTTAAAAACAAATTGTTAATGATGGTAATATTAGCCTCTCAAATATTATAAGTTATAACGTACATGTGCATCAAACGTGGCATAAGTGTATTTGCTTAAAGTAGTAAAATATTGGTTGATATGTAATGTAAGTTAACGACCATGTCATCTGTGGGGGAAAAAGGTGAGATATACAGAAGAATATCATTATAGAGTTTGGATCTTTATTTATCAAACCCTTCTAATTCCAGCCAGGATATTAGTTCATAATATATTTTTACTTACATTGATTATTTTAAATAAAAATATATGAAACTAATGAGCTGTTTTGTTAAGTTTTAGTCCCACATATAACCTTTTTTTTTTTTCAGTTTTTTAATGAGATGTACTCTTAAATAAATGGACATGAAAGACCAATCGGGATTGATTCTGTGCAAAGTGCTAATACTTTACAATAAAACAAATTAAGATTCGAATTTTCATTTAAAGAAATGTCTACAGTTAGTAACCGACAATACTTTGAATAAATATCTAGTAAGAAGATATATGTGCTTAATTTGAAAAAAAAATCTAAGTTTACGAGGTGCTAAAAAAATTAGAACATGAAAATAATTAAAATTAGAAAATACAATAAAAGGAATTAATTTAAATGGAAGAACATGAAATTCTTGAAGAAGAGCTAAAATCTCCCACTAAGTGATTGTAGAAGACTGATGATCATAAGCTGCCAGATAATATTTAAATCAGAATGTTCTTTTTGTAGCTCGCTTATATCATAGTTACAAATTCCAGACAAAGAAGCTCGGAGACAATCAGATAGGAATAACAAACCAGGCTCAATAGTACTCCTCCGGTCCTTAATATAGGATCTAATTTTTGAGTTGGTTTTGGTCCTAAATATAAAACCCATTTCTCATATTTATCAATTTTCTCTAAATTATCCCTATGAATACTCCTTCAACTATAATCAAGTAGAAAAGGGAGAAGGGGTATTAAGAAAGATGATTATGGTGTTTTATGAAAAATGTGTCATTTTTCTTATAATTAACTAATTTACCTAACTTTCGCAATCTAATCAAATTAGTTAAATGGGTCTTACATTAAGGATCGGAGGAGTATTCGCTTAAGGAATAAAATAGGAAGATTTTGTTTTGTTTTATATATACACACACTACCTCCAATTTTAATTATAAAATCTCATTTATAGTTTATAAATTAAATTTTATAATTAGTAACGGAAATCCTATTACTGTCTCTATTGCATGCTTTATTTTACACACACATTTTCAAGTAATTTGTGGTCTTTACAAAAATGACATGAATAAAATAATTTAAAAGGTGATATTTTTTTAGATGTGTAGCTTTTAATGCATTTGTACGTTGGGAAATATATAATCATAGGAAATCATTAATTCTATAAAATATGGTACAATGTACTAGTGAATGCAGGACGACACAAATATGTTTTTACAAAATATTTTGGCATGTGTAACTACGGAAGTCGAACTCAATTCAGCACATGAAAACTTAAAATGGACCCCTGTAATAGTCATAGCAGAAATTCAAAATGAATATAATTTTATTTAGCTTCATAAATATATTAATGATTAATGATGGAAGGTTAATTTAAGAAAACATTAAATTTTATTAACTTTCTTTTAAAATTTAATATCTTTTTAAATTTATCCTTGTTTTACGTACATTACACTTCTTAAAAATAAAGTTAACCCAATAATAAATTAAAGATAAATTATATATTCATATAAAATATTTTCTCTCTGTCCTATAAATAAAATAAGAGGAGTATTTTTTTTTTAATTCAATAAATGCATACATACATTAATCTATATACTTATTTTTTTGAAGCAGCCATAAATATAATTATATATGTAATTTATAAAAACATAATAAAATAGTCATTAATAATGTAACTTATTATCTCATTATATAAGCCATCCCATTCAATTGCCAGTTTTGTTGGCCTTGATTCAATTAGCATTTGAACCATACAAGATGAGATTTTGACATTGAATTTGAATGACTCATAAATGTATGATAGAGTGGTTAAGTTTCATTAACATTGAGATTGCTATATCATTAAGGGTATGTTTGGCTCAATGAGAGAAAGGGGAGGGGAGGGATTTTAATGGAAGGAAGGGGAGGGAAGGGGAGTGGAAGGATTTTGTTTGAATTTATAAAAAAAGAGGGGAGGGGAGGGAAAAATATTTTAATATGGATAATTTTGCTCTTATTTTATTTAAGGTGTGGGCATAATAGTTACAACATAACAAAATATAGACATAATGGTCACAACATGATAAAATATGAGCATAATGGTCATAATATGACAAAATATTGCCCTTTCCCTCCAAATCCTCCCAATTTTGGAGGGGAGATTGAGGAGGTTTTCCCTCCCCTCCTAAAATTTATATGTTGCCAAACAAGGGGAAATGATTAAAATCCCTTCCCTCCCCTCCCTCCCTCCCAAATCCCTCATACCAAACACACCCTAACATGTTTCATTATATTGCCTTTAAATAGTATAATTTATAATCCATACAAAAAGTTGTAATCCGAGTTTGATAGATCAAATGACATCAAAGCACCTTTGATAGTACTTTCTTCTTCTTCTTCTTTTTTGTTTCACTTTCATTTTCAATTTTTTTATTTATTATAAAAGATATGATGAATACGTGAGTTATAACCAAAAAAAAATGAAGAGCTGTGATTCTCATTTTATTGGTAATAAAAATTATCTTTTGATTCAATTGCATGCAAACACGCATGCACTTACTAATCTATATATGTATAAAATACACAATCTTATTAAATTATTGACAATATGGCTTATCTTAGATTTTGTATCGATAATTTAATTATTAATCTCTTTAGATAATAGATTCATGCTTTACATAAAATTTCATAAATATCAAGTTTAATTTTTAATTAAAAAATTACATAAAATTTCAGGAGGAGCCATAATTCATTGTCTAAGTTAAGATCTGATAGAAATTTTGCATGAGGAAACCAGATTCTTAACCCAAACAATATTTTGAATTAATTCTCCATGATACTCGGCATTGATTTGGTGTCTAGAAACCCTTAAAAACACTTAAAATATGTATTTTTATTTAAGTCGAGACAAAACTCGGATAATAAGATGGTTGATTATCAATCTTTTTATTCAAATAATGCATCCAAGTAGGGACCTAGGAAGTTGATATTTTCCAAAGCAATAGATATCTGAATATTCTTTTATCATAGAATGAGGATTTAGATTAACCTTGTAGTGCATAGCTTGATTTCTTTTTCTCCAAATCAAATTTTAAATTTAATTTTTTTACCAAAAATATTTAATTTGTTTCACAGATTGGGTATTATTACTTTCTTGAAAAAAAACAAGAAGAAATCATATTCTTTTTCACCTTAGGTTACAGCATCATGATCTTGAACGAGATCACTATGAATTGAATGAGATCATTATGAATACCAAAAGCCCCAAACCATACGCAGCTCTAATGAGCAGAGAAACATGAGCTTTGAGAATTTTCTCAAATTAACAAATTAATGAGAAGCCTTCAAACATTTCCGTATAACCAAATAATAAATAATATCCATAAAGAACATGAATTTTTCAAACATACGTCGACAAGGAGTCATACCTTAGCTGCCGAGGAAATTCATAAATGATCTCCTTCAGCAATTAAAGCACGTACACGCGCGGGCATATATATATACACACACACATATCTTGTTTTTTATATAAAAATTAGATAACTAATTTATAAATATTAAAAAAATTAATTAAATTAATTATTTGCAACATATGTATTAGTTGTTTTAAATTACTTTTCTTTAATCATATGTACTAAAACTATCTTTTGATAAAAAAATTTCAACATACATCATTGTTGTATGGGTTATTTGACCAAAAAAATTAAATAAATATCATAAATAAAATAAATTAAAGTTTTATATTTAAAATCAAATTAAATTTTCAACGTAGCTAGACCGAGGGAGTACTCTTTTCTGCCAACGTGTTTGATGTATATGTATATGTTATTTCAATCTTAAATATAAAATCTATTTTATGATGTAATTTATAATATAAAATAAATTTTATATTTAGGATATAATATAAAATAAATTTTATATTTAGAATCAGATGAGTATAATATATTCTTGACAATAGAAGCATTGATCCAAATTTAGCTATATGCAGTATTTATTAACAATTTGAGATTGCTATCATGAACATTTTAAGGGCTACTTACAATGTAAAAAGGGTAAAAGACTAAGAAGGAAAAAAAAGGAAGAAAAATAGAAAGATGAACAACAGTCTATTTGCTGCTTGGAGAAAGTGCCCTGACTCGCTGCCTCAAAAATCACGAGGATCAACGAAAATTACGGAAGAAGATGATGATCCAGACGCCACCCAATCCTCACGCTTATCCTTCTTCCCATTCTCTTCTTCTTCTTCTTTAGCTTCAAGTCTCTTGATGCACCACAAGTCTTCGGCCCACGAGAATCTGCTCCAGTGTGGGACCCCCTCCGTCGCTGGGTCCCTCACCGCAAGCTCCGTCACGAGGGCCCCACACCGTCCGTCGTCGTCGTCGTCGTTGTCCTTCCCCATATTATGCACGAAGTCACACACCGACCTCATCAGCTCCTTTCCTTTCTCACCTTCCATGTGTAGTCCGTACATCACGTAAATCCCAAACGGCCTAAACACGTCTGGGAATGACGGAACCCTCAGGCATGGCAGCCACGTGTCCACCATTCTCGTTCCCGCGCATAAAGCTCGCTTCCATGCCGAAACCCCCTTCACTTGCAGTTTGAACACTTGTTTCGTGTTCCACACGCTAATTATGGCGTAATCCGGCGGTGGAATCCCCGTTTCCGGGTCCCATTTCTGTAGGGTTTCGTTCTGTATGGCCATGAATGTGCCCAGATTGAGCTTATTGGATAGAATTGCGTCTATGTCTTTTGGGTAGAATTCTGCATTGGCGAAGATTTGGTTGTAGATTGATGCTGCGATGGAGGGAGCAAGGCGAATTACGGCAATGCTGGAGCTTATTGGCTTGTGGTGGGCATGAACGGGTTGAACCAGCATGGTTAGGGTTCTGAACCTTGAGTAGCCGCATTTTTTGGTGAATAAATTGACTGATGCTTCGTTCGTGCAATCTGTTGCCATGTACGCATATTCAGCTCCTTGTTGTTTGCACCACTCTTCTAAATGTGAAATTAGCTTTGTGCCAATGCCGAGTCTCCTGCACTTGCCATGTGTTAATTTTGATTGATAGGTGTTATATAGTTGGAAAAGCAATGCAACAAGAACTAATTAGAATTGAGGGCAAGGATTTTGGGGATGATTCGAACTTAAAATAAAAGTTGACATCAGTGGACCATGCTGTCTGGAAGAAGAACTTAATACCAAGTTCGGTGAAATGGTTTAAAATAAAAAAAGAATAAGACATCCCATCTAATTTCTAGTTTCTTAGTAAAGTGCCTTTAGTGGATACATGTGTCAATGACAGGCTAGCTTGCCTATGCTTTTTCACCTTTCCTTGATACGAGGAACGCTAGCTTCTAATTTTTATTTTCCTTAAGAATATAATCGTCCACTACTTCCTTTTCTGATTTTTCGGTTTCACTTGTGCTTTTTAACGTCTGGATTGGATTAGAAGTAATCAAGCATCCATCAACTGGGGACAGAAGGGGGAATAAAGAGGAAAATTAGGGAAAAAATTAATAACTGTTGGTTTTTTAAATTTTACTGTGCTAGTGACTGATGTGGAAGGGGAAAGTACAATAATGATGTTACTGTATCTTGTTTGTTTCTGGCTTTTATCAGAAACGCATGCACATTAAACTCCCTAGGGAATAACCCAGGGTAGTGAGAATCACGTTTCTCCGGTTTTCCTTCTGATGCTTTCTGCAATGTGCTATGAAGTAAATTCATGGAAGCAAAACCAAAGACATATGAGGGAATGGAATAGAACCTGTGTGTGGAGGAGACCCTGAGCCCCAGAAGATAAGCCAGCTTTGCATAAATTGAACAGCCTCTGGTGACTGTTTTCACACACCCTCTGATCACCCCAACTACTTCGCCTCCTTCTCCATATTCTGCAACCTGTTTGGAACAGATATCACACGAACCCAGAAGCAAACAGTTCATATGATCAGATATCCAAGCATTGGAACTATGGTTTCATTTCAAAACTATAATACGAGAAAACTATCATAATGATTTAGAAATTCCAGCAACAAAGCAGGTTGTATGATCATATGTTGCATAATTTAGGTAAAAGTTTGAAATAGAACAGTAGTGGCTGACATAGAATTAATAGTTACCAGCATGATATGTACAGGAAAATGGCGGATGCGGCATATGGGATCACCCATGAGGTCAGTAACCAGAGACATATTTTCTCCTTGTCCGACCTCACAGAGCGTCTCCATTTTCTCTATTTCCAGTTTATGTCTGTCCTCCTCATATTCTCTTATCACCACCAATGGCTTCTTCATCGGTTCTAATCTTTTTGCGGGCCAGCTATCTGATGTAATCTTCAGAGACACGGGAGATTAATATAAGCAAGCAGGAAGAAATAAGATTAAGAAACCCCTGGCCTCTTCTGGGTTAAGCTAGCTGTGCAAGCTTCAATGTCCATCTCCTATCTCTCTCTCTCTCTATATATATACACACACACACACATATCTGAGAGACCCCGAGACTGCTGACGTGGTGACTCCCCAAATTTCAGTGGACCTTTTTCTTTTTGGGGGAAAAAAAAGAGAAATGAAAGTAATATAAACTTCCATTCTGTTGTTCCTATCACGCATTACATCATGCTCAAATCTGCTTTTGTTTGTAGTGCGTGATCCAATACTTCATGTCCATATCCAAAAGATGCACTGTGGAACCTATATTCTTTTTCAAAAGGTCATAGGTAGACTAGATATTGTTTCAATTAGCGTTGGCCTTATAAGGCATTTAGTCGACACATTAGATGACAGAGGGCAAGGGAATAACAGTTTAACAAAGAAGTTCGGAGTACACAACCTTCTTATTCATATTGTGTAATGTCCACAAGGGGATAATGATAACTTTATGATGAAAGCAACGGTGACAGCTGAAGCAGTTTCAGGCAATGGTTATCTGGGTAAAGTGGGCTAAGCGTGCATTAATTGTCGTTTCTTCCTGATAAATGAGTTATCACTATCTAAAGCTCTAGTCTAGAAATTTCTTAAAGATTCGACATGAGAGGAACATTTGTTCAATTTTTTTAGAAGGTAAATCTTGTCCGCTCAGAAGACTATTCATTTTTGGCATGCGGTTTGAGTCTAGAAATTCTCACACGTTATTCAAACTCTAGTTAACTGATATTCTGTTTCTCTGTTCCTCTTTGGTTAAAACTTCTCTATCAGTTGTTGCAGGAAGGTTGTGGGTCACTTACCGTTATTTAGAATCATGATGGCAAAAGTGTTTGTTGCTCCCAGCTGTTTGAAAACCAGAAGTCTCAACCTTAGAGAAACAAACCCCTTATCATATTAAGTTCTCTTTTCACCAATTATTGGGGTAGGTTGGATGAAAATAATGCCTTTCACCACGTTTTTGGTGAACATGTGGGATGCTATTGTGAGGGTAAAGGGGGTGTTGATCGCCATCATCATATGCACATCTAGGTGCTTTTTTTTAAATTGTTCCTGTACTATTCTTTCGTTTGTTTATGTTTTAAAGAATGATGCCAAATTTTATTAAGAACAAATGTCAGATGGTTAGCTACACCCCTAGAAGCTTCACCCTGACGCATATTTTATTAACTCATATGTCTAGTTCCTATATTCGGATGACCTTTGCTCTTTATATCTGCTAAATCGTGGTCCAAATGTACCTGAGCTTACCTGTTAAGGAAAGGAAAATTTGATCTAGAATTTTGGACAACTTGAGACCTATCATTGGGGATAATTGCTACAAATGATACGTACAAATGGCGCATACACAAATAATAAATGTTTCGACATCAGAAACAGAGAACTCCATGCAGAGGGAAGTTGTGGGTATCAAAGAACCGATTATACCCGCATGGTGCAGGAAATCTGATTTTTCTAATTTAATATGAGCGAATCATTTAAATTCGTCTTCCAAATACCCTGAAAATCATCAAGCTCTGTAATTTAGGTAAGGTGTGGAGTTAGTTTGTTTGACAGAATTTGCTCATGGAAACTTGAGTCAGTAGTAAACATAAAGTTATAAGCTGAAAAACTTCTAATAATTAAAGCCACTATCTTGAGGTTTTAATTCCAAATCTTCTGCAGAATTCTGATGCTTTGATTGAAGGGAATCTGATGTGACTGCATTAATTGGGAGGAGGATTGTATGAGTTTCCTGCCAAGCTTTGGTACCGAGCTTCCCTTGCTAAAGATGAATTTCTGAAGAAGGATAGCATTTTCTTATGACCCATGCTCTGCAAGAGGAGTAAGAACTTCCCATATTTCTTCAGACGGTCAATTGTGAATAATAATAATAATAATAGTGATGGTAATAATAATAATTGGGGATAAATTCCTCATTGAAAAATTAATTGGCAAATGGAACCTAAAGATTTTATGCAACTTAACTTCTATTGTGTGCGACTTAACTTTTTTTTGGTGCAATCTATCTTCCCTTGTGTGCAATAATCTTCTTTTGTGCGATGTGCAACTTAATTTCTTTTTGTACGAATGAAATTCTCTTATGTGTAAGTCATCTTCCCTATGTGCAAACTAATCCCTTATATCCAAATAATGTTTTGTGCAAATCATCTTTTTTTTGTGCAACTTACCTTCTTTTGTGTGCAACTAATCTTCTCTTGTGCAATCAGTTATCTTAGAGACCATTTGCCAATTAAATTTGTAATGAGAGATCTATCCCTAATTTTCCCTAATAATAATACAGCTAAATGTTAGATTTATATGGTATGATTTGATCCCATGATAGCCTATTTGAATTTTCTCTTTTCCTTTTAGGATTTATTTTGATGCAAACTACCTGGAATCATTTCTTCCTTCTTTATTTCCCATTGTACACTGTGTTAGATTTCCAAACGAATCTATTGACATTATATTCTTTTCTGTTTTGCAAGTTTATTAAATAGTCTTATCTGGCTGTCATTGATGGTAACTAATTGGTGACAGGTCACATCTGCAAATAGCATATAGACATATTCTGATCTCTGAGACCAGTGACTGAGTTACACTGACTATATTCCTGTGTCCTTAGACTAATAAAAAACAAGAGAAGATATAAAGATAATTCTTTAATTATGCACTTTTCTGAATCTAAGAATGATGATAAATTAATATGGGGGACGCTGTGGAAGGGGGAATGTATAGGAATTTGTTCATATTCCTTCAAATGCCTCCCTTCACATTATTAAATTTCCATGTTTTATGTGTCCCTAAGGATTAGGATTGAGTTCAGAAACTAAAAGGAAATATTTAATAAAGTTCTTTGGAATTGCCCATGAATTTAATTTCCCCATGCTCCCATGGTTGAATCTTTCAATAGCACATGTCAGTGAAATTTCAACATAAAGATCTTGACATGAAAAGATAAACTCTATGCTTAGAATGGTACATTGTCATTTGAGAAATTCCTGTAACTCATTATTAGCAGTATTTAATCATACTAAGAGTTATTAAATGCTTACTAATTATTAATTTGTGATTATCAGTGTCTGTCCTTCAAGCATTTAATTTAACCATGACCCCCCCCTTTCTCTCTCACACACACACGCACGCACAGAGAATCTCTGGTCCTGTTAAAACCACAGGCATTCATTGATTAATTGTAATAGACTAGGATCGTGAATAAAACTCTCCTCTCTCTGCGTGAAATCTCTGATTCTGCTAACTTAGCTCCAGGCATTCATTGGTCAATTGTGATAAGACTATGATGGTGAATAAATTACACATACACTCTCTCTCTCTCTCTCTGTGATCCTGCCAACTTTACCATAGGCATTTATTGATCAATTGTAATAGATCACCATGGTGAGTAGAATGTTTGATAAGAAAGTGAAAGGCAGAAGTTAAAAGAGGGATCCATGTTCCAGGAATGTGCCACACCACCTCTGAAAAGCAACATTCCAAATTAGAGAGAGAGGTGGTGAATTGTGGTTTTTCTTTGAGCACATTAATGAAACCGCATGGAATTATTTGTTGTCATTAAAGAAAGTTGGCTTTTTTCTTTTCTTTTTATTATTTTTCTGGCCTTCGGCATCACATGAACAAGGTGGTCCATCACCTCAAAAGAATATATATTAATGCTGCTTAATCCCCTAATCATCATACTAACCATTCATATTAAAGTATTCTCATGATTATTTGCATAAGATCAATTTGATCAATCCGAGTAGTACTATCAAAGGACAAAAATAAAGTAGGTTTTGAGTAAATTTATGTGGGCATGCATACCGACAGAGATTAAACAATTCTTTCTAAAGCAAATTAGCAAACACCTTCAAATCATCATAAGGGTCACAATCATCCCAAAATATTTTTTTAAAAAAAGTAAAAAGTTGCAAGGATCCCAATTCAAATGGTTTCTGTTCACTTAACGAATCCAGATGTAGATGCACAAATGAAATCAATATTATATATGATGTTTGGATGAACTATTGGTTGAATATAGAGTACAAATTAAATTAGTGGACCCACAAGTTTATGAGTTCTGTTCTGCTAGCTTATCGCATTAGCTAGTTTGCTTGACTGTTTTCTTCTTTATTTATCTTTGCATGTATGCATACTAGTTTGTGAATATAAATAAATTTATGCTTTGATTGGTTATTACTACTTTCTGTTCTACATATGAGAGTTATGATAAAAGGGTTTACTTTGGTACTTAACATAAAACATTAGTCTATTTTGTCGTTCAAATTTATAATGTTTTGTTAAAAATATTTTTATTGATTGCATATATTAAAGAGGCTCCAAATCAAGACATAATATACATAATTAAATAGGGTGGTTTAGAAAAATATGGATATATTTTGTTTTACAGATAATTAACTTAATTAAATTTTTTAATATTCGTAAAATTAGTTGTCTATCTTTTATACTAAGGAGCGAACAATCACAACTACCTCTAAGACTTAAAGAAGAACCATAAGTGTTTATCATATCAAATTACCAAGAGAACAATGAACAATAAGCATGCGTACGCGCAACTGTGGTTTTTTTCTTTAAAAGCAAAGAAATGAAATCTGTGTTGAACCTATAATAGTTGTGTGGAAGTCCCTTCATCTTTTCATGTCACTACAGAATTCATCAAACGATGTGTAATTTTCATAAGTTTTATAATTTATTCTCACTCATATTCATCAAATTTTTATAATCATTATGTTCCATTAATTTAGATTAAACATCATGTGTCAGATTGTGTTTATAAATAGAGACATGTACTATATAATTGGTTCTTTGAAAGTGAATGATACTTTTTCTTTTGGACAAAAAGTGAATGATACTTTAAAAGTAAATGAAGAAAAATAAGTATTCTCATGCATTTTATCTTTGCTTTAATTCTTTTTCTCTTTTCATACTTATTTCTTCTTCTTGGGTATCACATTTCTTTTATTTTTCATAAGATAGACATTTATATGTTCCCTTAAAATAATTTCCTTTTTTTGTTAGAATTTAGTGGCAGCAAAAGTGAGACTCTCATTTTATAAGATTCTCTCCATCAATTATTTAAAATAAGGAGGAGGAGGAGAATATTCATATGTCTTTGTTTGTTTGTATTATTTATTTTATGTATAATTATATGATATCACCAATAAACTCTTGACAGATATAATAGCTAAATACACAGCCTTAAAATGAAATTTCTTTAATAATTTACCCAATAAACGTGCTTCCAAAACTTAGATTCCACAATTTAAAAAAAAAGAAAAGAAAAAACAGCCATTAGGATTATTTTGCACTACCTAATTTGTGTTGTCCTAGTTAATAAATTCTAATAGGTTCAAAGATTGAGTCTGTTACTTTAAGCACATTGATGAGATTCCTTATTCTCTAACCCAAAAGACTAACTTTAAAAATGACAACAAACTTAAATACTAGTTTTTTCCCCAAAAAAAAAAAGCAAAATGATATTAACAAAACATAATGTCTACACAGGAAAAAAAAAAAAACAAGACAAGAATGCAGATTCAAAAACTTAAATACAAAAGAAGGTTTTGCTATATGAGCATCTAATCCCGCAAGAGAGGCAAACAAATGGAGAATATCGTGCTAAATAGTGCTCATCCAATTTTTAATATAAGAGTTAATTGTTAAGTTAATTTTTATCCTAAATATAAGACCTATTTTTCATATTTATCAATTTTTCTTAAAGTACCTTTATAGATACTCCTTTAACCATAATCAAGTAAGTGAGAGAGGAAGGATATTAAGAAAGATGATTATGGTATTTTAAGAAAAATGTATCATATTTCTTATAATTAACTAGCTTACTTAATTTTTTTAATCGAATCAAATTAGTTAAATATGTCTTATATTAAGTACCGGAAGAGCAGATCCCAATTAGTTTCATGACCGATCAAGGGAGATGAACTTTTTTTCAATACAAATTAATTGCAGCGCTTCTTCCTTTAGAAGAATGAATATTTGAGTGACTAATTCATAACAAGGCACCACGGAAGCAAGACGCAAGAGACACTAGAGGATGAGCGTAATTCTATTTCCAAATAAACTATTGCAAAGGCAATTTATGCAGGCATATAAAAATGTGGCAAAAAGAAATTCTGTACTTAAATACTAGTTTAATTCAACAGGCAAGTGTTATTATTAAAGATTATTTTGCTTTTTTTTTTTTCCATCAGTTTTCTGCCTACCGCAATTTTTAAAAAAAAAAATTCGAAAGTTAAATTATTTGTTTCAACTTGCTGAATCTAAAATCGAGAAAATCAACAATTCTCAAGTTATTTGTCCTCCTATAAGTAAACACTTTATTATCCTTTAGCACTTTGAAGGTACCTTTCAAAACCTCTTCATAAGTTTCTTGTTGTCTATCATTGGATCAATTTAAATCTCTGCAACTTACCCACAGCAAAAATTATAGTATCAAGTTTTGAACAAAACTATGTGCTTGTAAAAGGATCATAATTAATTCTGAGCATAAGAAAGATATATTTTATGTTGATTCATTTCACCATTGCAAAAAGAGATTTTGGTGGCTAGCGGGTACAATTAGTGACATCTTTACAAGGAAATCGCTACCACAATAAATAGTTACTACCTCCGATCCTAATTATAAGACCCAGTTGATTTATTTGAGGAGATTAAGGAAGTAAGCTAAGTTAGTTATTTGTAATAAATAAGTGTTGTCATTCCTAAAATATCCTTGCTAATTAAGTGTATTGGCTAGAACTATCATTATTAGAAGGATTATCTTGGAAAAAAATACATAAATATGAGAGAGAAAATGGATTGGAGTCTTATAATTAGGACTAAACAAAAAGTCAAACGGGATCTTATATTAAGGATCGGAGGTAGTATGTCTTATACTCTAGTGGCATGAAAACTCTTCTACCAGTTGTAAGTTTAATCCTGTTTATAATTGCAAGTTGTTACAACTTACCTCTGTAGTTTATAAAAGCATTTATGTGCAAAAGTTCTTAATATAATAACTAGATAATTAATTTAGAGATATTAAAAAAATTAGTTAAGTTAGTTATTTATAATAAATATATGTTGACTTTTCTAAACTGTCATATTTAATCATGTGTATTGAAACTATTTATTGATGGATTACAATCTCACATGATTGTTTATATAATACTTCTTTAATTTTGATGAGATGAATATGAAGATATTTTAAATTTCAAAAGTAAAACTGTTTTTTTTTCAAGTTACTTATTTTCTTATATAATTATTTGATGATATATATAGTATTATCTCATCAGATATTCAAGTATTGTTATATCTAATTTGGTTACACATTTAAAAAGAAAAATTTGAATCCATTTGACTCGACTTGAAAAGCAAGGAGACATAGAAGATGGCAAATGAAATTAAAGAGGGTAATAATGAGAGCCTGTGAAAGGGCAAGTATCTAACTCTATTCACTTGAACCTTATTCTCTCTATCTTTTTAATATATAGATAAGAACATACAACCTTCTTTCACAATTATTGGTGAAGTTGATGAAGAGTATGAGTTGGAACTTTATTAGTTAATGTATGAGAATCTTTGTAATTTATAAATGTTTTCTTTTAATTTTGAGTCTTTGCCTTAATTTTAATAAACTTTGAGACTCAATTCACTTAAATATTTTATTATGATTCTAAATCGGATTCAAAAGTCATTAGTGATGAGGGAGGCCATTGGTTTGGGGGGGGAAAAAGGCATTACATCATTTCCTGTAATGAAACAATTGAATTATGTATTATTGATCATGATAAAAGTAATATTACAGTATATTTCATATAAAAAAAATTATTTTATTGATGTAAAAAATCAATTTTTATATTTCTCACTAATAAAATCAACTTTTAAGAAAAACATTTGGAAGATGAGAATTTAAAAGCACATTTTCAATAAGGCTATATTTTTAACATGATAAATTCATATCTTTAATAATATTTTGATTATATTAAAACTTCTTATATTTTGTTTTTAAAAAAACTTCTTATATTTGTCTACATTAATAATAAAAACAAAATGTGATTTTGGTGCTCGAGTTAATAGCAAAATAATAATCCTGGCCCAAAAAAAGCAAAATAATAATATCTCTTTTTTCTTGTGAAGTATATCAACCAGTTGTTCAAATATACATTGTGGGCAAAAAAAAAATTGAAATTTACATAAGGTCACGACTGTTCTAAGGATTAAAATGAGATAATTTTTTCGTTATTTTTTTAAATTTTTTGTGTGGCCACGCTAGCAAGAACATAGTTATATACTCATCAAGTTTTGTAGCTCCATGACACGAAACATTCCTCTTCAATGTTTTTTGGTACAAAAATTTTAGACCAAGGTTTGGACTCCAGTCCAACCAAAAGCAGAGCATTTGAACAGCTTCTCTTAGATAATATTAATGTTGGGCAGGACAAACATACATTATACCGTTAAGTTAGTTAACTTAGACACCTCGTTTTAGGATGCCTCTCCAAGCATCACGATAGAAATCGAACTCCCTCTCTTTTGAGTGAGAGAATGTGGGTTTTTTTGCTAATCCCACAAATGACGGGAGTTGTGATTTTGAGAGGATACAATGGGTGCATGAGCTATAACAAAAGGAAAAAAATAGTTATATACTCAAAAATACTTTTCATCCACAAAAAGGAAAAGATATCTCCAAGTAATAATAATTTCAACTTGGGCTTATGGCCCAGGATTGTGTATATCAAGTTATTGGGCTTACAATATGGGCCACAATGAGGCAGTGTAGGCCCAAACCATGGCCGCCCAGTTCACGTGCTCGTATTGCTCCGTTCGGCTCTTGAAGGGACATCGGAATCACGAAAAAGAGGATCTCGTTAAGCTTCGCAGCTGAGCTCAAACTTTCCGGGAAAGTGAAGCAGAAAAAGAAGAGTGGAAAGTTCAATGGGTATTGCGGCGGCTATCGGAGTACTCTCACCGTTTCCGTTCTACTTCTGGCTATGGAATTGGCCGCAGTCATGGGTGGACCTTTGTGGGAAAGGGCGGGACCCATCTAAAGTGATGGCTTACGTCTCTCATTTCTTCAAGCTAGTCCAGTTCATCTCCCTCTTCTCTGTTTCTTCTTTCCATTGGCCTCCTCCTCTCTATTTCTGGCCACTTTTTGCCTTTGGCCAGTTTCTCAACTTCAAGTTAGTCCTCCACACTTACTCATTTCTCTATGCGCGTGTCTCTGTGTGTTTTGCTTATTTTACGATCATTTTGGAATTTGTTTAACATTGGTTGGACTGTGTCGGATTTTGTTGAGTGGTTTCCTAGATCTAATAATGGAGTTTGTTAATTGGCACGATGAGATTAATATTGAATCACGCTTAGCTATTGATAGCTGAAAATGAAGAAATTAGTAGTGTTGTTTAGTGGATATGAGGAAAGTTTTGAGGCTTGGTTTTTGCTCTATCTTCATGTTTGATCCTAAGCAGCTGGAAAATATGCTTTACACAACATAAAAGCGTATGCTTTAGACATCCATGTTTATCGCAGAACAGTAGATATCTAACCTTTAGATTGGAACGAGTTTTGACTTTAAGTTGGAATGTTGAATAGGGAGTGTTAGGTCTATGATATGCAGTTTACAACACTTAATTGGTGTGTGAGATTTAGGCATTGCCAGTATATGCTGTCGGAATCGAGTGTCACGTACAGGCTTGATGACTATGCAGTAGATTGATGATGGAAAATATATTTTTGGCAAAACTGGTGTTTGGCACTGTTCACTGACCGAGTTTAGACAGCAAGGTGAAGCAAAATTAACGCGTTCATAGTTTGAAATCCAATAATCTGAGCTATGTCAACTGAAAAGGTTTAAGCTTTCAAGGATTGAATTCTTTTTAATGATTTCCCCAAGCCTTATATTTGGCTTCAAGAGGTTGATGGAACCCCTCTGATTCTGATCACTGATGGATCATACACTAGAACTAAAGTAGCTATGAATGACTGGTATTTTTGGCATGTTTGTAGTGCGCCCAATTGCACTATTTACTTTATTTGATCACATTAAAGTATGAACTTGCTCTTTTCTCAAAGGTTTTGATTTGCAAAATTACTTCAAATGACAGGGTTTATCAGCTGCTTGGTGAGGCTGGAACATACTATGGTGTCCGCTTTGGAAAAGAGGTTCCTTGGGTAACAGAATTCCCATTCGGTGTCATCAAAGATCCTCAATATGTTGGCAGCATTTTGAGCCTTCTTGCATGTCTTTCCTGGGTTCCATTTCAATATATTCTCCTCTGGGTTTTAGGATACTTATTTATGATTCAAGTGGAGTCCAAAGAAGATCCATCCACTCGTGCCAAGCCACGTCTTTGATATTTCCCCTCTTCTTTTCTATTTTGGTGACATTTCTGCTCTGATAAACATGATTCTTCATAATAAACTTAAGTATGTAGTGAGTTTCCGTGGTGCTGTTTCAGATAAATTGCCTTGATGTTCCTTCAAATTTACTACTCTCTCGTGCATCACTCGTTTCAAGCATGTCAGAAGCATTGATTATTCACATATCAGAACTTTCAGTGATTGCCATGTGAAAGTGAGGGAGAAACTAATTCCACCACATGCCAGTGCAGAATTGAATTCTCCTGCAAGTTGCGGTGTGTATTATTATGACTCCATTTAAACCTAAACAATCCCCAAAGCCCCAAAACGTCGAGGGAAATTGGATTTGTAGATTAAAATTCTGGCTTGGCTCGCACGGTTCTCGTAGAACCGCAAAAGATTCTGCTTTCTAAATTTGTCAGTCATAATTCATGAAGTTATGATGCAAAACTTGAGGAATATGGCAATTTTAAATGATCAAATCAACCCAGAGAAACAATTAAAAAGTGGGAAAACGTGTTCCTGGCAGGACACCCATATTAACTAGCAGAAAGGTTGTATCTTTCGGACCAGCCAGGTGAGGTTGCTTGAGAATGGAAACAGATACAACATGCCGGTGAAAGGGACGTGGGCAAAAGAGCAGATGAAGAAAAACACAACTATACACATCGAATAACCAGCAGACAAATTTGACAACCCTTATTCTCCACGAGCAATGTTATATGATAGTAAATGTTGGGCTCTAAAGGGACAACAAGAGCATAAAAGTGTGATGATAAAAATGAAAATGTTAAAATGGATTGTCATATAAAAAAAGATAAGATTTGAAATGATCATATTAGGAAAAGAGTAAGCACAATGCCTATTTGACGAGGTATGGCCATGCATAGAGAAAGCCATTGGAAGAGACGGAAAGGAGGATAAATCAAGTAGTATGAAGTCTTCTAAACAAGAGGTGAGAAAAATCAAAGAAAATACTCAATAAAGTTATTGAATAGGACTTTTTAGTTAATAATTTATTTAAGAATTTGGTTGGTGATAGAGGAAAATGATGCCATGATATCTACATAACTGATCTTATCTAATGGGATAAGACTTGTTCTTGTTATCTTTCTACCACATGGGACCTGCAAGCAAGGAGCCATACTCCATGATTGGGCCATCTCCATCATCAGGGTTCTTGCCATTAGTGCATGCATTTGATCTTGAGCTGGAACTATGAACTTGAAGGTCTAATGAACCAAGAATGAAGCATGATTGAAAATGGAAGCAACTGTAAAAATTCAAGGGAGGCTAGCGGACAAAATGGTGGGAAAGCTTTTGGGATTGGTCTGTAAGTAAGTCGCAGCCAATGCCATTAAAGTTGTGAAGTGGCCACTAAGATGTAATTTGCGACAATTTAAATGGTAGTGTGTGTGTGTGCGTGTGTTAGTATTTGAACCTGGAAAAGAGTTAACTACGAACTGGCCACTTGCATTCAGAAAAATCTTGCGGACACTATTTAGGTGATACAATAAAAATAAATCTTTTCGATGAAAGCATTATAGAAACAAGGTTTCTTGCAATGTCAGTTACTCCATCAGGAGAAGACATGGAAACCTGTATTTAACTTCCTTGTTCAATTCTGTGATGCGCATGAATGCCTTTGATTTTGAAGCGACTAAATCATCATCATCACCACCAAACTCTTCTTAATTCTCAATAAGCAAGGAAGTAGAAACACCATAACTTGTAAGTAAAGACCTTCCCATTATTAAAATCCCCTAACTGTTTTTGAAACACCATCTCAGCAAGTTCATAATCATAATGAAGATGAAACTTGCAATTTAAAGTGCATATTGGTGGTTGTGAAGCTGAAGCCCTCTGCATCGCATAGCTTCTTTTTCAACCCTTTTCAACATATACTTATTGATACTAAACTACTGAAGTAGAAGCAACATAACTGTTAATTAATCCTTTGTTGGTGTACAAAGTTGTCTGTCTTAATAGAACGCTCATTTCAGAATTAATATGCTTAGATAAGAAATTAAAATCTCTAAAATAGCCACTGATGGCTGTTGCTCTTATCTTCTTCACTTCAGCACTTATTATCAACTGCTGGGTTTTGATGCTCTCTGCAGCAGGGTTTATGCAGTGGGCTACGTTTTAAAAGGACCTATTGCCCTCTTTGAATCTTGGATCTGCTTATTGAACTCAACCAGTTTAACAGCATATTTTGCTTATTGAAAAGGTTTAGTATGACTTTATTTCTCCCCCATTTTCATGTTCGTCTGAATTAAAAATTATGGAGAATAACAAAGGCACTCTTTTGTTGCTGTCATAGCTTATTTGGGTAAATTCTTCAACCTCTTATGGCCCATCTAGTATGAGTTTTCACCTCTCTTAAGAATCATTCTCCAGATAAAATAGCCAAATACAATAGTGACATGCTTCTTCCTTTCGCAATGTATTTATTCCTTTGTTTTTATGGAAGAAATCCCAATGCCTGCAAGCCAAAAGTGGCAAGACAAATGAAATGCTAGGCACCGTGGGTAAAGGGTCCTAATAGTACTTTTATAGCTTCAAGTCAAGAAGGGGCTAGACGTGACGGGATGGATCAGTTAACCAGATGAGCGAAGTTACTTATGGAGGTCTCATTTCGGATTAAAATGGTGCCTAGAAATGCGGGTCCATGCTGAAATTAATTACAGTGGTTCCCTGGCATTATCGCTGAACTAATGGGATTATTAAGAGTTCCGGCCACATTTATGAGCTTTAAATTTAAATAGGAGTGTGATTTATTTTTATTTTTTTAAATTAATGAGGCAAGCACTAATGGCCTAATGTTAAAGATGAGATCGAATCCGTAACTTTTCACTTATAAAAGAAGCTTACATGCCATTAGGTTACAAGGTTATTGGTAAAGTGTGGTTCATTTTATAAATTTCAATATGGGTTTGTCTCAACATTTAATATGTTTTTTTTTTCAATTTTATTCTCTCTCCTTTGTTACATCTCTCATTACATCTTCCTGTGCATTTTCTTTCATCATTTTTTTATTTATTATAAGAATATATTTAAAAATAAAAGTATATTTCTCGCCTATTTATTGTTTTTAACTGATTTTTTATTATATGTAAATCAGTTATTTGAACCTTGTAATAAGAACAGGTAGAAGTATTAAACTCTATTAGACTAAAGGAGTGTTTAGATATTTCCAAAAACACTTTTTGAATGTGTTTTTATATAAATTGAGATAAAACTCCTTCTACGTACTTATTTTGAATACCATAAAATTACTTTTAAAATCATGATTTGTTTTTTAACCAAATATCGATAAACGAAAGTTAGGTTATACTACCTGGGGTCCTTATTATAAGAATTAATTTAGGGGTTATGTTTGCTTCTAAATATAAAACCACAATTTACTTTATCTCCAATTCTTTTTAAAATATCTCTATTAATTAATGATTATAAGAAGTCCCACCAAATGATGTTCTAATATATAGAATTAAAGTGGATAATTTAAAAAAATCAATATGTATTTATGACAAATAACTAAATTAAATAGTTTTCTTAATATTCTGATATTAGTTATCTCGTCAACCTAATTAGTAATTTCATCTGATCATGTATTCAGCGAAGCAAACGCTTGTGCAGGCTAGCTTGCTCGACATGCACATGACGGTATAATTTCATTTCTTGTTTTTGTACAGTAATTGCAAGGCGATACTTCTTTAATTTTTTTAAAAAAAAATATTTGATTGTTGATTATATTATTTTACAAGAAATGTATTGTTAAATACTATCTCTGGTTCTAATTATAAGAACTAGTTGACTAATTTGAGGAGGTTAAGAAAAGAAGTTAAGTTAGTTATTATAAATAGGTATTGTCTTTCCTAAAATATTATTACTAATCAAGTGTATTGGCTAGAATTACCATTGTTAGAAAGACTATATTGAGAAAAAATGCATAAATATTAGAAACAAAGTGCACTGGGATCTTATATTTAAAACCAAAATAAAAGTCAAATGAGATCCTATATTAAGAACCAGAGGTAATAATTGTCATATTGCGCATTCTTATTGAGAGATGACTCATCAAAAGTTAGTTCATAAGGTTAACTCATTAAATCTGTCTCAAATTGATTTGTTTTTGGGTCAATTTTACCTATATTAAATAAGAATGAGAGAAAAATATAAAAAGTTACATTAATATTATTTGAAAGGACTAAATTGATAAATAAGTATTAATTGTTATGAATATTATATGGATGTCCATTTACCCCTTCCTTTTCATCTTCTCCAAGTAATTCCACTACCTCCATCATCTATTACTCCTCCACTATCCATTTACTTTTGTAACTCACTTCCATTCACATTCATGGGATTGATTATCCACTATTTATTATTTAAGGATAATTGTAACCTATGTATAAGACTATGCCTATAAATAGGACATGTCATTTGTGTTGTAGTACAAGTGAATAAATACAAAAGTTCTCTCATTCTATTGTCTTTATCTTTCTCTATTTTACTTTTATGGTTTCATTTTGGATTCATTTCATAACACGTTATCAACACGATACTCTACCATTTGAGTTCATGGCTTCTAATTGATACATGTTGATGTTTTGTTCGTTGAACGAAGATAGTTTGATTCGAATAGTTTGGCAAGATTTCTCCAATTTATTTAGAGAAAATGGTGGTTTTGCATATTAACCTTATTGATTCATTGGTAGCTGAATTTTTTATTTATCGTATTGAGATATGAAAATTTTTGTTTTTATTTATTACTTTTCTTATATTTTCATGATTCTACTATGTTTCTACTGATTGATTTTCTATGAGGTTTATTTTTATCAATAATATTACTATATATGATTATCATCTCTAATATTAATTAATTATTGTCTTAGAAAGTAAAATGTTAAACATATAAATAAATGGCTAATAACCATTGTACTCTTAATTTTGTAATTAGATGGCCAGAAGTCACATAACGTTTTGATGATTATTTGATAAAAGACTATCTTGTGGGAGTAACAGATGGCATGACAAGATTGTCATAATTTAATAATCTATATCAAAGTCCTAGAGATTGATGGTTTAAAAATTAAATGATACAAAAGAATTTCGTAGTTCTAAAAATTTTGTTATAATGCAGAAGACTAATATTTGAGAAAATTGACAATGTGCTATTGAAAGCAAAAATATATCTATAAGAGTGATAAAGAATATGATCACATTATATCAGTGGAACTGATAACTAAAAAGGTACTCCTCCGGT